AGTTTTCTTTTTTCTGTCTTTGCCCGGTTTGGATATTAGAGTGATGCTGGCTTCATAGAAGGAATTTGGGAGTTCTCGCCCTGTTTCTACCATTTTGAATCATTTAAGTAGTACTGGTTGGAGGTCTTCTTTAAATGTCTGGTAGAATTCTGCTGTAAATCCATCTGGGCCTGTGCTTTTAGTCAGGAAGCTTTGTATTACTGTTTCAATTTCCTTATATGTTTATATGTTATAGGTCTGTTTAAACTGTTGATCTCTTCTTGGTTTAACTTTAATGGTTTCCATGATGTCAGATACCCATCCATTTCTTTTAGATTTTCAGATTTAGTAGTGTATAGGTCTTTAAAACATTCCCTTATAATGGTCTGGATCTTTTGGGTGTCTGTTGTGATGTTTCCCCTTTCATCTCTGATTTTGTTGGCTCTTTCTTTCTTTTGGTTAACTGGGCTAAGGGGCTGTCTATTTTGTTTAGCTTTGCAAAGAACCATCTCTTAGATCCACTGATTCTTTTTATTATTTTGTTTGTTTCTATTTCATTAATTTCTGCTCTGATTTTTGTTATTTCTTTTCTTCTGCTGGATTTGCGTTTTATTTGTTCTTGCCTTTCCAGTACCTTGAGTTGCAGTGTTAGGTCATTTATTTGGGCTCTTTCTAATCTTTTAGTGTAGGCACTTAGAGCTATAAACTTCCTTCTTAGGACTGCTTTTAATGTGTCCCAGAGGTTGTGTTGTGTTGTATTGTCCTTTTTGTTGAATTCCAGGAATTCTTTTATTTCTTTCTTAATTTCTTCTTTGACCCACTCATTGTTTAGGAGTGTGTTGTTCAATTACCATGAGTTTTTGTGTAGTGCCTAGGGCTTTTTCCAGTGTTGATTTTGAGCTTTATTGCATTGTGGTCCAATAGAATGCATGGAATTTTTTCAATATTTTTGTATTTGTTGAAGTTTGTTTTGTGGCCCAGTACGTGGTCAATTTTTGAAAAAGTTCCATGGGGTACTGAGTAGAAAGTGTATTCTTTGGTGCTTGGGTGGAATATTCTAAAGATGTCTGTTAGGTCCATTTGATGTATGGTATCATTTAATTCAGACATCTGTTTATTCTTTGTCTGTTTAACCTGTCTAATGGAGACAGTGGGGTATGGACTGAGTTGGGGTTAATGTGTGTCTTAAAGTCCTGTAGTGTTGTTTTTATGAATTTGGGTGCACCAGAGTTTGGTGCATATATGTTAAGGATTGTAATATCTTTTTAGTTAACTGTTCTTTTGATCAGAATGAAGTGACCCTCCTTATCTCTTCTTAGTTTTACTTTGAACTCTATTTTGTCAGACATTAGAATTGCAACCCCTGCTTGTTTCTTAGTGCCATTTGCTTGGAATATTCTTTTTCATCCTTTTACCTTAAGGTAGTGCCTGTCCTTGAAGGTAAGATGGATTTCTTGCAGACAGCAAAGAGATGGATTTTGTTTCTTAATCCATTTGCTTAGCCTGTGTCTTTTGACTGGGGAGTCCAGTCCATTGATATTTAAGGTGATTATTGAATAATGTGTATTGGTTGCCATCATTTCAATTGCTGTTTGTGTTCTCTGTCTAATTTTGTGTTTCCTCAATTATACCTTTATTTATTTTCTCTTGTTGCACCTGTGCTGAGTTGCTTTTTATGGACATGTACTCTTTCAGGCTATTTACATCA